CAATTGGAAAACCTGTTCTGCTACTGCATGACTGTTTCAGATATTCTCCAAGCATTACTTGCATAAATCACTCCTATTCCAGAGCAATGAAGATGTCTCTTCCAACAGCAGTGCCAAGCCCCATACATCTCACACAACGCATTTGGCTGTGCTCTTACACACCCACAGGCTGTTTGGGTATCACACATCAGCACTTACCCTGGCCTGAAAACACCACTGTAAGCCTGCCACAGACCCCACTGAAGCTGTAGGTTGGTATCCTGCTGCTCATAGCAAACAGCTGCGAAATGGCAAGTCTAGAAACAGACCTTCTTCCAATCCAACAGCTCTTCTCAACACCTACCCCAAAGCCATTCCTCCGGCTGGGCTCCTGGGATGCAGATCCATCCACACCTCCACCACAGCCCCTTCACACCCAGCGATCCACCCTCCCAACCCCTACCACACCTCTGATACCGCAGAGCATGGAGAAGCCCTGGCAGCAACAGAAGCTCAGCTGCTGCTGCCATCCTTCTTTTAGCACATCACCATCAGCACTGCTGAGCTCTCTCTTCAGCCCTCTGTCACGCTCTAACCGCAAAGCAAAGCAACCACCAGACCACAAAAGCAAGCATGTTATACACACGTGAATCACATTGTGTACCAACTGCAAGCACTAAGATGACAGCATCCAAAAACCAGTTCCTCCTCCAAATCAGCTGCAGACAAGAGATGGACCAAAGGAACCTGAAATATCCTTTACACCAAAACCCGATTTTATTCGCAGGCTTCTCTTACTGCAACAGGACCACATACATCTAGAGAAAACAGCTTAAAAAAGACTATGGGAGCATACAGCCAACCTTTAGGGAAAATACACTCAAAAAGCAGAGGAAAGGAGTCTCATTTCATTCAAAGGAATGAATCTGAAGCCTGGCCCAACATATTTCCTATTTCATATAGTGAATTTGAGAAGCAGTCTATTAATAGTTCACTACCGTGTTCCTATTCCTGCTCCTCTGTATCATGGAGACAGCTCTACTAACAAACACCAATAATGCAGACACGTTTTCATATTGTTGCCATGAAGCAGAGCTAAACCAGTTGCTTAAGCTTAAACAGCAGCATCTTAAAAACTGACTTGGGAGAGATAAAACTGGTCTTGGAGATAACTTAATGAGCTCATAGTAATATCAGATTCAAGCTTCCAGAGGAGTTCTCCCTCCTTTCTTCTTCTTTTTTTCTAAATTATTCTGTTCATTTACACTACAAAGTTCACCCAGCCAATAAATTAACAGCCCAGATAGTAACAATCTGCTCTTCTGACATCAGACAAATGCTGTCAGCCAACAAGGACATCATAAAAGACAGAACTACCACACCAGTGACAATCAGCAGAATATTGCTTTACCCATAAAGAAATTTCCTGAATGCTTAAGGGGTGGCATTATATAATATATATACATATATACACATATAATCTCCCTGCCATGCCTGTTTGTGTTTGGCCATTTCAACACCCTGTGTTCAGTAGCTCTGCACAATCAGCTATTTTTAGCACCCCAATTTCTAACTTCACGTGGAGATGGAGAAAGCGCTCGCACAGAGCACCTCAGTAATCAGCACTGAAGAAGGAACCAAGACAAAATGAGATCTTTGCATTTCAGATAGCACTGTGTGAGACTGTTCCGCAGCTTCCCCATGTGCTCCCAAAGGAGAGCAGGATGGGGATGTTGGAAGCCATTCATTTAACTAGAAAAGCACATTTGGCTTGCCAGCAGCAGGTTGGCAAAGGCCTGCAGTCCTTATTCATGACCTAACATTTTACTTAGGAGTACAACACTTGAAATACTGTTACCGATGCCTCACCACAGAGCAATTGTATGACACCAATTAAAATTAATTATAGCTGTTGACAACCTTAGAATGCAAATCCTTCCAAACTGCAAGGCACAGTAATTCCATTCCAATAGTTTAGTTTCAAGAAGGAACAATACATTCATTTTCTCACTAGAATCTGACTAAAGCTTTCATGTCTTCGCAGACAGGTCTAAAACCCAGATTGCACTTGGTTATCACTTGAATCCTGCTGTAATCCTAGCCATGATTTTGCTTCTGAACCCTAAAACCATCTTTTCACTGAAATAAAAAAGCACTGAACAGGACTGGCTTGCAAGGTCTTGGTACTGATGGACAAAAAGAGGCGGGCACCAGGCAGCAGTACCAGTGGGCTGAAAGAGCTGCTGAGCCAGGGCAGGGGATTAATGCCTGCGCAGGACCTCAACTGCTCACTTTTAGAGTCTGAGAGTTAAAAACAAGAGGCACACCTGCACCTGCAGGAGAAAGGCAAAGAACACCACAATGCAGTTTCCCCACAAAAAGGTCCTCCAATTGTGTGAGTCTGTAAAGGACGTCATTTTGTCTTCAGCAGCTCAGCAGTCATGGCTTCCTTCAGCCTACTGCTAAGTATATCTGAGCATAGCATTCCTACAGACAGAATCACATCAAAACAGTGCAGCATACACAAGAGCATCTGGAAGACTGTGACTGAAGCCATTCCTTCACAGCACTCTGATGCACACAATAAGAATCCCCAGCTGAAACAAGTGCTGTACAAGTTAAAAGGCTCCAGACAACACAGAGAGACACACCTACTGACTGCCTCCTCCTTCCAATTAACCCTGAGGCGAAGGCCTCACATGCCAATGGCAGATTCATGTCATCCAGCTGCACATTCTCACTGCAGACCACAATTCACACCTCCCTCCCCCCCCCAATACACGACACAGCCTCTGGCATCACCTGCACACCTGAGAAACCTCCATCTTTAAAGAGACACGGCAGCTGTAACACTCCAGGTGATTGGCACCCATTTCTCTTAAGTACCTTAACAATAAAGATTGTTCCTACGGTCAGAGGCCTAAATCAAGCTCTGCGCTGCATTTGGACTACCCAGTAGTAAGACCTGGCTTACACTGAAGCTGTAAGCCTGTGTACACTGAAGTCAGTAAGCCTGTGAAGCTGTCACAGGCTGTAACTGAAACAGGTGGGCACTGTGGAATTACTACAGCTGATTTCTCTACAAACAGTGGGCTCAAGAACTCCTGAACAAGCATAACGAGGAACATGAAAAACAATCACCAGTCAAACCTCACACTTCACTGCAAACTTCCCAGCCTCCACCTTCGGTTAAAATGACCCAAACAGTGGATGTCAATAGAATGGGCTCTCCAATGTACCAGGCAGTCCTCTGTAGCTGAAGTTCTTCTGTTATGAAAAATATGTTGGAAAATCTCTAATCTAATTCCCCTACTGAGGATACTGAGAAAACCTGGCAGCAAAATGAATTCCTGCTCTGTGTGATGGCTCTGTTATGACAGAGCACGCATGCACCGGTCAGAGCAGACAGCTCAGCAGCCCCAGCCCTCTTCTGCACACACAGTCCCCCAGAAGGGATCTGAATTACTGCCCTAAATGAATTACAGGAGTAAAAGCCTCTCATCAGGGCTCAGTCCCCAGCAGCAGCCAGAGATGAGGGCCTCTCAGCCCCTCTCCCAACACCACAGATGCTGAGCTCTCCCTTCAATCCTTTCGGCAATCCTAGAGCCTCCCCACCCGGACCGCCAGCCCCCAATGATGGGAGTGGAAATTGGACTGAACCCCTCCTCCACATCGTGGCCATGATGTGCCAGGCCTCCTCACACCTCACAGCTCTGCCTAATGACAGCCAACGAGAGCTACGATGGCAAAAGCTGAGGAGTGCTGCCTGTGCTTCCTAGCAGGGAGCAGCACTGCAGTGAATCACAACCATATTGTTACAAGCAAGCCATTGGGGAATAGGGATGAGGAGGCAGCACATCCATCTCTGCCCATCCCATCAGGCTGGTGGTAATTTACAAAGAGTTTGTGCCAGCCCTAATAAAACAGACAGCTCAAGCTGAGTGCATCACAGTATTCACGTGTGAATAAGTGTGGTGTACCATAGTATTTATGTGCTGCTCACACTCTCCCATGGCTCATAACACTGCCACACAGCAGGAAGCTCAGGACCAAGAGGGTCCAGGGTCAGAACCAGGAGTCAAACAGCCTGATTCCCACCCAAATCATGGGGTGGAACTCTGAGTAATAAGTCAAGGGAAAAATAAAATCAAAAAAAACATACAGATTACATGTTTTCCTAAAGTCCTATTCAAATGGATGTTAATGGAAGTGAGGTAAGGAGAAGGCCCTAAAAGATTTGCAAAAGAAATAATATCCTGCTTTACATATATTCTCACTTTAGTGAACATAGCAGAAACAAAAATCCAGAAGGGAGAACATACATGCACTACAAAATAAGCGTTTAAAAACCACATCCTAGAACAGTGCAAGGCACTACCTGCATCTTCTCTACTCGTTACCAGGTGACTTCACTGCAAAGAACCAGAACCCAAAGCAGAGCTGCTATTTTTAGCCTTACTTTTAGATGTATCAGAGCACAAAGCTGAACTGCAATACGGGCTCAGGGCACCTAACAGAAGACACAGCCTGAGACTCACAACACAAACCACCAGTGTCAGGAGAGAGGAAAGGGCAAGGAAGGGCTGAGAGAGACAGCACAGCTCCCATCGCCGAAACAGCATCTCACACCCATATTCGCTGGGAAAGGACAGCGTGCTTCTGCAAATGCACTGCAGTCAGCGTACACAGCGAGCGCTTCCAGCCCAGACCCGCTGCCAAACGCAGCTCTGCCTCGGCACTGGGCTGCGGGGCCGGGGCTCGGCTCAGCTCCCCGCAGCCTCCGAGAGCCGTACGGCCCCGCGGGCAGTGCGGGGCGGAGGGAGTTAATGCGGGGAGGAGTGCGCATAAGGTGGTGGGTGCGGAGCCAATGAGGGCACTGCGCTATAGTTAGACGCTGGGTACCGAGCGGTGGGGGCTATAAAGGCTGCTCGGAGCCGAGCTGCCGGGGGTGACACCGGCACGCTGCCCTTAGCGCCGGGGCTTACGAAGCAAAAAAAAACCGTAAGGGAGGGTGAGCTTACCTGAAGTTCACACCAAGCGACTTCCACCCACGTCTCCGTGTCCAGTCCCTTATAGACCGTTTTGAAGGATCCCCTCCCGAGTTCAATATCAAACTTGAGGAACCTGCCATCCAGCGAGGTGGCGACCGCTTTCATGTCAGCCTCCTCCTCGGGCTCCTCTTTCTTGGTCTTGCCCTGCTCCCTGGCCGCGTCCGACGCCTCCTTCCTCTCCGCATCCTTGCCGGCCTCCTTCTGCTCCTCGGGCCCCGCCGCACCGCCAGGTGCCGGCCCCGCCCGCAGCGGCCCCGGGGGCTCGGCCTCCAGGCACACCTTTTCCGCCGCCCCGTGCCCTGCCTTCGCCCTCTCCGCGATTATCCTTCTGGTTTTGGGGAGCAAGATGATTTTCCTCTGATGCTCCGACTCGGGAAGGTCGAACGCGGGCTCCTCCTGGTCCGAGTCCACCACGCTCCGCCGCAGGAACCGCTGATGGACCATTTTGGGGTCCCTGGAGCACGGCGCTCGGGGCGGCGGCGCGGGCGCTCCCGGCCCCGCAGCGGCGGCCGCTCCGCTCCCGCCGGGCCCATCCACGTTCACGCCGCCGTCCGCAGCCGGGGGAGCGCCGGGCCCAGGAGCGCCCGGGAACCCGCCGCCTCCCCGCCGAGATGCCGCTCCGGCATCGCCCCCGCTTTCCATCGGCTCTGAGGTCTCGGCGCCCGGCCTGGGGAAGTCACCGCGCTCCGTGCCCGCGCCGGGCCGCCCCGGGGCCACCTGCGGGGGGAAGGCAGAACGCAGCGCCCTGACGCACCGCCTCGGGCCCCGGCCCGGCAGTCCACCCCCCTCCCGGAGCCGCCTCGGGACCGCCAGCCGCCCCGCCTGCCCCCAACCCCCCGGCGAGGAGCCGAGAGCGGCGGGGGCAGGTGCACCTGCGGGCACAAAGGCGCGGCGGAGCCGCTTACTTACGTGCGGAGCGGGGGGCCGCCGTCCTCAACGCCATGGACGGGGATGGGAAGAGGGGCGGGCACCGCCGCGTGTGCGCGTCGCCGTGCGCGGTGCGCGAGTGTGAGTGTGTGCGCGTTGCGTGTGCGGGGAGCGCGATGCCGGAGCCCCGCGCCGCAGCGCTCCCTGCCCGCAGTGCCGCCCCCGCTGCTCAGCGCTGCTCAGCCCTGCGGCAGCCCCCGCCGCGCCCCCATGGGCGATGGGCGCCGGCCGCCCCCCGCCCGCCCCGGCCCCGCTCCTCCGCCCCCACCCCGCGCCGCCGCCGCGCTTTTGTCAATGGGAAGCGCTCCGCGGCGAGCGCCCCATTTAACGCACCGGCGCTCGCGGGCCGCCAATGAGGCGGCGGAGGGCGGACCCCCCCGGCACGGCCCGCCCCCGGCCGCGAACAATGGGAGGGCCCCGGCCGCCACCGCGCCCCGCTGCGCAGCGCCCTCCGCCGCCGTGCGGGGCGGCAGAGGGGTGGCGGGGCGAGCGATCCCAGCGATGCTGCGGTGGCACCGCGGAGCAGCCTCGGCCGGGGGAGCCCCGACGCCGTGTGCGTGCACAGGTGACTGCGGCGAGCGGTCGCTACGGCAGGTGCCGCGAACCCAACCCCCTTCGTGCTCGTAATTTTTCATAATCGATGAAACGACGAGCATAACTCATTCATAGCGTTTGATAATTCACTGCGGCACCTCTGTCGGAGCTGCGGGTCTGAGCGCGCCGCCCGCCACATGGATCGGGATTTTCCTTTGTTTGCTTCTTCTCTCCATCCCCGGCGGCCGACACGGCGCCGTACGAGCGGAGAGCGGCCCTGAAGCGGACGGGGGACCCCGAGCTGCCGCCCGGGGCCGGGCCGGGCCGCACACGCGGGGCTGTGCCCACCGCAGAGAGACGGGGCTGCTCGGTGCATCCACAGGAGGATCCTGCACCCCGCCCTTCACAGCCCTCTGTCGTAGGCGTGAAGTTCCAACAAACAAACACTATATGGTTTGGTAATTAGGATTTAATTAAATAAATCTGAGAACTTATTGTTCATTATTACCTGAGATTTCTGAGTGCGAAGAAGGTGTATGCCAAGCAATCATAATCAGTTTTTTTCTTTTAATTATTCATTTTTTGATGGGACCATTAAAAAAACACCAACTTCACAATAAGAAGGCAGGTGTTTCTTTTAATTGAAGCTCTGCTGTTTTTTGTAAAGACGTGGCTGGTGAATAATAACTCAGTGTTTTGAAACATTCCATCTTTCAGTGGTTTGCTTTTTGAAGCATTCCCATACGATGCAGTGTTTGCAGGACGTGCAGTCGGGGCACAAAGCACAGCTCTGTGAGCACACACAGCGTGAGGCTATAAAGGCACTGCTAGCAGTGCTACTCTAACTGCCCAAACAGGAGTCTTGTAAGCAGAACACAGGAGGAAGGCACCAAGAGGCAGGCGAGGAAGGGTAAATGCCCTGAATCCTTCTTCAGTCCCAGGAGAGAATGGAATGGCTCTGACTTAGGGCACTGCTATGTTGGGGCTCCAGAAAGAAGAGTGCAGGTGAGGACTGGTGCTCCCCTCATTGCCACGGCCCCACGGGTGGAGGTCTTGCCAGTGGCAGCACCATGATCTGTTCTGACCGCTGCTGGAACGCACCACCCGCCCCTCACTGTGCCACTGTTTGGTCTCCATAAATGCTCAGTAAGTACTGATGAATGTTAGTGGGTGTCATCTTTTTCCACATGTAGGAATTCAGTTCCACCCCTTTGCTTCATACACACTTCATGTCAGACATCATTCTATCAGACCACCCCTCTGCTGCTACCTGTCACATGGCAACAAAATGTCACAGGATATTGGTGGGAAGGTTCAGCCTCTACTGCCATACCACCAACATCCGCCTCTGACATCACGGGCCAACATCATAAAATAGGAGGCATTACCTTCAGAGCAGCCATCATGGATAGGTAGGTAGATAAATAGATAGATAGATAAATAGGTTGGTTGATTGATCGATCGATAGCTATTTGTTAGTTTGCAGTAAGAAAGTTTAGCTCAGTTCCCCATGCTAACAGCTTGACCTCCCAGTGCTTGGACACTGAGAAATTTTGTGTTTGTTTAAAATACATGTTGGCAGTGGACTGTGGAAACATATATATAGGCCTTCGGACTTCTACTAACTTGTTTTCTTTCTAATTTGTTACTCGATTGAAAGTGGGTCACGTACTTACGGAAAGCCACTTCCAATTGTATGGAGGCTGTGCTCTTTCTGCTGCATGTATGAGACCAGCCCGAATGCTATGTTGCACAAGGCCTGTGTTTTCTTTAAAAGGATAATAATTTAAAGACCCACTTTCACAATATAGCCTCAGTTAGGTCATTTCTGTTCTGTTCTGGCTATTTGTTTATAGATGCAAAAGTCATCAGGTTAGTACAAACGTTTATTGCAGACATGTTAAAAAGGGTCTCTGCAGTGAAATTGTGGATGCTGTGGCAAACTCAGCTGGCAGGAAGAGCAGAGCAGGCAGCAACAGTGGGGAAATGGCATCACCTGAATCCAACGTGCAGAAATGCCTCTATTTGTCTTCTCCAGTGACACAGGAACCATTTATCGTTGTAACATGCATCCCCATGCCATGTCCTGAAGGTGAGGTTCCCTTTCCAGGAAGGCATGTTATCACCTCCCCCACCAAAATCTGACCCAGGATCATTAACAGTTGTTCAAAGATTGCTGTGTTAATTCAGAAGTTTGTATTCAATTATTTATCTGCTTTTTTTTTTTTGCCAGGAAATGATGGCGTTGAGCCTACAATAAACGCAAATGGGCTGCCCAATTAATTTCCAGATAATTCTGTGTGACCACGAGGATTGCAGGAGCTCAGATAGCACAGTGGTGTTTTTTAAACCTCTCTCCCCTTACTTGTGCCACTTGCTGTTATGATCCCTGCCATACTTTAAAAACACAATTGATGGCTAGAGCTAAATAAGGTGTAGAGACAGGTAAGGAACGGAGCAGAACAGGCAGAAATAACAAGCATGCAACAAACATGCCAGCAAATAGGCTTGTTTTACAAACAAGAACAAGGAGCAACGGCAGGTCTTGAGGCCACAGGGGCTCGTAGCCACTCTCCTGGCTACAGCACTGAGCCCTGCTGTGAGCAACAGCTGAAATCCTGAAGTGCTTCTGCTGCAGTGGTAAACTGAACTGAGAAAACAGACACCAGGTAAACAGCATAGGTAATGTAGAGACTGGCTGAAAACAAACACCTGTGTGTATGGAGAGCTAGCACCACGTGACCAACGTATGGGATTTCTGGCCTTCCATGGGCTGTCCTACTGGAACACCACGAGGCCATCTGAAAATACACGACAACCTGAGCTAACAGGGCCTGTCAGTGCAGGCAGGGCATGAGCAAAGAGTGAGCACTGTGCAAGGAAGTTCCGTGGGCACTATGGGTAAGTTAGAGCTCTGTCCTCCTTCTGGGCACAATTACTCTGCACTGCTCTTTTCTGTGCAGTAAGTACTAATGGCCAGACAGCAAACATCAGCCAATAGTGTGGGTGTTAGAGATGATCACAGCCAGCTCCGGATGGATCCCAGAGCTCCTTGTCGAATGCCAACCAGAAGAACGCTAATAGAATGTCAGTTTCGGTACTTGATAAATATGTGGTGCTATGTTTCTTTGTTAAGAACATGAGAAGTACTCCAGTGACAAGGTGCTGCACAGTTATTCCTTCCAGTTCCTATAGGGAAGCCGAAAACCCACCACCTGTCCTGAGCTGTCTCCATAGATGTCATACCCTTGATTTCCACATAGCTCTGAGCACAAGTGTGTATGTGGGCACATAATTAGCCCACATCCCAGCTTCAGTTTTATTACACTGACTAGTTCCTGGTGCAGATGTAGGCAGATGTGGGGTGTGATCAATCATTTTGATAGGATGAGAGGAAACGGCCTCAAGTTGCACCAGGGGAGATCAGGAAAAACTTCTCTTGAAAAGCGATCAAGCACTGGAATGGGCTGCCCAGGGTGGTGGGGTCACTGTCCATGGAAGTACTCAGGAAACGTGTAAATGTGGCACTGAGGGCCATGGTCAGTGGGCATGGTTGGTGGTACATGGATGGTAGGACTGGATGATCTTAGAGGTCTTTTCCGACCTTAATGATTCTGTGATTTTATGATTCTGCTATTTAACCACTGATCTGCTCGCTCTTCGCATGCGAGTTGAGGAAAAGCACACATCTGAACTGCTGTGAGGTCCTTCACACAGATGCATGCACACGTTGCCCTTGTTACAGAAAACTTTATAAAGATAAAACTTCAAAGGCCAATTTCCTAATGCAATTTTTAAGCTTAAAAATAAATAAAACATGACACAATTCAACACCTCTCTCCTCCTATATAGCAAGTATGCCAAAGCCTTAAGCCAGCACTTTATATTCTTATTTTTTTTAAAATCGAACACTGTGTATTTTATTGCTTTCAGGAAGAGCAGCGATGACTACCAAATTCAACTGGAGTCAGTATCTTCTTCACCAGAACTTCTGGTGCACTGCTGCTTTTAGTTCTTTAGCGGGGATGTTGTCAGTTTCCAGGGCCCAGTGCCAACTGATTGTGTAACCAAAAAAGAAGTGCAAAACAATGTCTGCGATAGCCGAAATCACTAAGCTCCACCAAGTGGCACCACGGAGAACGCGTTGCCGTCAGGCTGGGAGCTGTGCTTTGGAATGGATTCAGAGGTGACTGTGATCTCCGCTTAGCCTGCCTTTATTAAGCATTCAGCTATTTTTGTTTTCTAGCTCCTACAAGGAAGACGAACAGGGCGTTGCAGAAAGATGCTCTGCAATGTAATTATTACTTACGTAACGCTCAGCTCTTGATCCTACTCATCATCCCACTGGCTACGAGGTTAATTGTCCAAGTGTCACGCTCCCGCACATTCTGCAGCAGTGTTTGCAGAATGAGTGCCTGCACAAACATACATGGGGGGACTCAAACATCTGTTGTTACTCATTTATATTCCGTCAGTGCCTAAATAGCATCAGGCATGAAACGAATGGTGTTACCAGCACAGAAAACAAAGATGGCTCCTGCCTTGAAAGGTTTCCAACTGTTAAATTAATCCGCATGCCCGTATGAAAACACTCTGAAA